ATGCCATGACGACTTTTAAAATGTTCTAGCCGTCCTTTGCTGTCCACAAAATCATCTTTTTTTGTTATTTCCTTATAAAAAAACTTAGCTTTCATGGCCAACATGGGTCCTGAAATTGGTGCATGCCTATCTCTTTCCTGAAGAAACCACATGTACAAAGCTTCTTCCACTTCTGGATGTTCAGCTTTCTTGAGTGTCTGTCTTTTGCCTTGCCCGCAGTCAGTACTTGACACGAACTTCTTGATCTTTTCGTGGTTTCTTTTAATGTCATAAATTGTAGATCGGCCTACGCCGTATTCACTTGCTAAACTACTGAAAGTTTCATTGCGATTTAAGCGGTCTAAAATATCACATTTTTCTTTAATTGTCAATGTTTTGTGCTTTCGCTTCGGAGTTTGTGATGACATTACTAGGTACTATACTTAATACACAATGAATAAATAGTAAACAATGAACGCACGCTAGGCCGTACCGCTATCACCAGTAGTCAAATTCAAACTAAGTAAAACAATGCTTACGCTTCGAGCACGATAGCGGTGGCGCGTACAAGTTGTAACCTGTTCACACCTGCGTGATCTACATTAGCGAAGATTGTCAAATACGTATGTGTGTAATACATATTCAAAGACATGTCGGATTACAGGGGGCGTCGGATTAGGCAGGTGCCGGATTATCGGGGCTCCACTGTATATAGTTTCGTACGTCTTTCCATTTCACCCTGCCAGCATGGCCTTGTGGCAAAAAGATCAACGACCACAAATCAGATGGTATTTACACATGTATCAGACTATGTTGATGAACGTGGCCAATAGATGTTGTATATACCGAAGCTTTTGCGGGTTGGATCATGTAGTTTTTATAAACAAACTAAAAAATTATCGCTTAGATATATTTTGAGTCATATCTACCTATCAGAAGGTAGTTTGTTTCATAGAGCGGTTACAACTCTTATGAATATGCTTGGTTCGGTGTAAAAAACTATGTCTCATTGGAGCAGCTTGTCCGTCTTTCAACTTCGCTATACCCTCGGAATTTAATCGTTTTCTATCGCATTCTCGGTAATTTAATCATCAATGCTAGATGATTATCACGCAACGTGTAACATATGTTTCGTAGCGTGTAATTTGTGCTTACACGGTCGAAGGCCTCTACGATAATTTTTTTCACATTCGGATTGACGGATTCGCAGATTCATAATCTTTAATTTTCAGTTAATATTCCACGGTCATCAATTTTTTTCCATTCGGCATTCGAATCGGAACCAACACGTGTAGAAAATACCGTCCGGTCACTTCGACCGTTGCGTCGACTTGGAAAAAAAATAATCACTGAGTAAAGACGCGGCAGAAGACCGTCAGGTGCGGTACAAATTACATGTTGTGGATAGGTTGGTCATTTTGGGCGCTTCCTTGGTGGATGCAAGCCGTCTACAGTATATTCAGATAAGAGATAGACCGGACATAAACAAGACCACGTGATCATCGAACGCTGTAACATTCGGCAGGGACGTATTAAGAGTCACGCAGTACATATTTTAGATAGTAGATGCTGCTTTGCGTAACTTTGCAGTAAATTAGCACAATTCGATGTGTATACGATTGGTGATGGATATAGGATCATGTGGGGGTGGGGTAAGAAATATATAATGATGTAAATATACATAAGGGTTTCAAAATTTTCGCTTCGATTTCCAGCTTCGGATGCCGCCTGATGTTTGGTGAAATACAGTCGAATATAATCTCAAAATGGCGTTTAAATTAGCCTAAATTAAAAATAATCGTATATCTCTTAAAATTGCTTTTAGAATATTGATTAGTATATTTTTTGATTTCTAGGTAAATATGTAACCAAATTAAAACGTTCAAAACGTAAAAAAATGTGCATGGTTGAACATTGTCAGAAAGTAGATTCTTGAATAGGTTTTGCCAAAATGGGTTCAAAAATGTCAATAATTAATTAAAAAATACAGTACCTTTATAATTACTTATAACTTACCGAATTTGATGAACGACATCTTTTATTGGAAAGATGAGCTTGATGAGCTTTCATCATCGCTACTGCCTGAAGCACCAACGTCAATAATGAATGGCTCGACTTGTTCCTCTAAAATATTGTCCAGTTCCCAAATTCTCTTTTCAACTTTGTCTTTCACGTGCTAATACAGTTTTCCCATTTTTGCGCTGTTATTAATTCTAGTGCTTCTTTGAAAAGTCCTTTGAGGTCACAAAATTTAAAAGTTGTATTGTGCTTAGCTATATAATTTTTAACCTCTGCCCATATGAGCTCAATGGGATTGAGCTCGCAATGGTATGGAGGTAAACGGAGCACAGGTTTATTTGCTGCCATTTCGTCAATGGCGTATTTTTGATATTCCGCCTTGTGATCCTTGACAATTCTTAATAATTGTACTTTCAGCATTGCTTCTTCAAAGTTGATATTTTTCGAGCGGTGCCAACTTTCCTTGAAGCCGTTGTTGGGACCTTCTCCATTCTTCGAGAATGATAAGGCGCATTATCCAACACAATTACTGCGTTTTCCTCTAAATTCGGTAAAATTTTTGAAAACCACTGTTCAAACGATTCGCCATTCATTTCCTCGTGGTAATCTCCAGTTTTCTTAGACTCAAAGCACCACAGACCGTCAACAACAAATCCATCCTCACTGCCAATATGGCAGATAATGAGCCTTTTCCCTTTACCTGGAAATCGAAGTACTAACTGGTGTAGATTTATTTCAATAAGCGAACCTTTTTCAAATGTTTTCATCACATTCAGCGAAAAAACATTGAGACATGAGTATCAGATTGCTATAATTGGGATTATTTAGTCATATTGAAAGAAAGAATATTGAACGTCGTATGATTACTCAGCGCTTCACAATTTAATTTAAAGTTATAAACCTTTAATAAATGAATGATCAGGAACCTGAAATACGCGCAAATATTAATATTAACAAATTATAACTTTATAAAGCTTAAAGTATGAATTAAAATGATTAGAAATATTAGGAACGGTACACAATATAAAACTTAGTAACTTTTTTTAAGTTTATAATATTCGACATATTTTAAGATTATATTATAAAATTATTGAAATATCGAAAACACATAAAAACATGGCTTAAAAAAGTTCTAACAAATGAAAATGACAATAAAACATCCACGCATTTTATCGAAAGTTATAAAAGTTTTGTTACTTGTCATATGTTTTATCTGCCCCCTGGAATTAATGTTTAGAACCTTGTTCCCAAGGTTTGAAAAACATCCGATTGTTGTCTATTACTCGTATTTACCTGCTGGATTTTTTAATCCGGTGGACAGTCCATCTAGAAAGGCCCTCCTGGATGAAGTTACAGAATCATCAACCCATACTTTACTTGTAGTGTGTCCTGCGTTTACCCACGTTTCATCAAGGTAATAAATCTTCCTGTTTTGATTTCTATATTTCCCAATTTTGTTAAATAATCCCTCCTCCATAGCACAATTTCTTCTCTATCCAGTAGTAAACTATTACGACCCCGTTTTTTCCATTTGAAATTTAAATGCTTCAGTAACGCATGGAAAGTTGATCGTTTGAAATTTGGCAACGTTGTATCTCCATTTACCTCCTGCAGTACTTTATCTATTGTAGGTATTTCATTCCTAAAGAAGAATTCATGCACTTTCCTCCTAATCGCATGCTTATCAGCTTCATCCAATGATTTAACAATACTTTTGCGATGTTTACTGGTCATTGGCTCAGAAAAGGTGTGATTTTTTTTGTATTGTCTTAACACATCAAACACTGATGCGCGACACACCCCAACTTTGTGAGAAACCTTCACAACAATTTCTTTGATGGTTGATGCCTCGTTCTCCTCGCGCTCGATCTTATATATATTCAAAATGACCTCTTTCATTTCTGCACTCAGGTGTCTTTTTTTAGAGCGTTTCCTAGGTGGACTACAGGAGTTTACAACTTCATCGGCAGTATCTGTACTACTGGGCATTTTGCGCAAGCAGTTGATAACAATAACAATCTATAACAAGGTATAACAATAACAACGACAAACTCAACAACTTAATAAGATAATAAACGAAAACGGCCAAAGAAATATCAAATTGCAATGATGCACACGACATACGTAACACGTCTGAACCTGAATGTGACTCTGCCTTGATATGACTGCTCTGCCGCTCGGCATAGGCATTTAATTGCGAATTGACCAATGAGGGGTCCTGTTTTACGTTGAGACGGCGGCGTTAGCGTGAAAATCACCCGAACCTTTTGTTTACATCCGGTCTATCTCTTATCTGAATATACTGTAGTTTGACCACTAACATTGATGACTCTGATAAATTCAATGAAATACATACCATTTGGAAATATGTAATTAATGGATACAAACTGGCAAGAAATCACTAAATTTGGTGAAAAATCATCGCAACTGGCAACCCTGGTAAATTGGTAAGCGCATCGAGGATGGCGTGGAAATAAGATGGTTGCGTAAGTTTGGTTGCATATACGTTCAGCTTGACGCAATAAGAAAAAACCTTTTCGTGCCGTAAGAATTTGGAGAAATGCGGTTTCATTTGATTGAAATGAGGTGGTAAGTAGAAACCTTCATAGTTATTTAATCGTAAGAGTACAACATAAAGATATACAGGGCGGGACAATAATTCAATGGTTGACTTTTGTGTATTTGATCCTCTCGATCTGCGAAACACCTCTTGATATCGGAGAAACAGGCCTCTGGAAGGAGACGGCGTGGTTGGAAACAGGTTTTTCTTAAATAAATTTCACATATCGTCGCCTAAGTTTTAACATTGCGTAACTGAAAAAAATGGCGCCAACAAGATATGAGTGTCATTTGATCGGAAATCCAATTTTCCACCGTTTCTTGCTCTTTTAAAATTTGCCAGTTTTTAGCTATGTAGTTATATATAAAAAACTACCTCTCATATTCTGATAAGACCAAACGCATGCTCAAAGCCTCAAAAAGCTAATTATAAAATCACTTACATAAAAGTTTCCCGCTTGAAATCTTGCATACAAGCACTTCATCACAGCATCTTCAGTCAGCGGAGCTTGCAAATGGATCAAGTCGTCCAAATCTGCATTCACTGGAGATATTTGTGGAGGTCCGCGAGGTTGATTTAGGGGTGCCTACAAATAGAAAATCAAATAACCAATAAATAAAATAAAAAATGCAATTTTAAAAACAACTTTTTATTTAGCTGTTAATAAAGGTTGGAAATATACTAAGTGACATATAAATCCGAACACCCAGTTTAAATGGTTTTATTTTAATAAAAGTTGGTGAATGTATTTATCTTACTGTAAATACCAAGTGAAAAAATTTTCAGCCTTATCAGTTGGACATTCCGGTTTTTATACTGCTTTTTTTTAATTCACTAACGCTCTACAAATGAATATTTCAGCCGCAGTAAAGAATCAACGTTGGCGGATTTTGGTTCTTGACATCCTTTACGATCGGTTACGATGCCTAGAGTACGGAGACCTGTACGATTTCGTCAACTTAGTGAGTTTGATAGGGGCCGTATAGTGGGACTTCAGGAAGCTGGACTTTCTTTTCGGGCAATTGCAGTTAGAGTGCAAAGAACTGTGGTTAGGTGTTGTCAGGCATGGCTTCGAGAAGGCCGTACGCAAAGAGCAAGGGGCACTGGACGCCGCCGTAGAACAACAGACCGCGAAGATCGCCGCCTAAGATTACTGGCCTTAAGGGACCGTTTCTCCACTACCAGGTCCATTGCAAATGAATGGTTTGCAGAACACGGAAGACCTATTGGCATGCGAAGTGTTTACCGACGAATGAGAAGTTTTTGTTTGTTTTCATACCGGCCACACTGGGTCCTCCCTTTAACTCGAGAACACCGACGTAATCGCCTTGAGTGGTGCAGACAACGGTCACTCTGGGATCAGGAATGGAGCAGTATTGTCTTTAGTGACGAGTCTCGATTTTGTTTAGGCATGCACGATGATCGTGCCAGGGTTAGAAGGCGACGTGGTGAAAGGAGGAATCCACAGTTTTTTGTTGAAAGACATGTTCATCAAACTGTTGGAGTTATGGTTTGGGGTGCTATAGCTTATGGTTCCAGGTCACCTTTAATCTTCATCAGAGGTAACATGAACGCGCAGCGTTATATCCACGAAGTTCTAGAACCCCATCTTTTACCCTATCTTGACACCCTGGCAGATCCAACTTTCCAACAAGATAATGCCCGACCACATGTTGCAAGAATCACAATAGACTTCTTTCAACATAATGATGTCACATTGTTGCCATGGCCACCAAGATCTCCCGACTTATCCCCAATTGAGCACGTGTGGGATATGATGGGTAGGAGATTGCTCAATTTGCAACGTTCTCCTCAGACTCTAGAAGCACTTCGAGAGGAGTTGGTGGTTGCCTGGAATGAGATACCACAGGAGGACATTGACCACCTGATCAGAAGCATGCCTAAGCGCGTTGGAGAATGCGTAGCACATCAGGGTGCATCCACACATTATTAAAGGTCAAAGGGCTTTAAAGCAGTGCAATCATTTTGAAATTTTTATCATTTACTTATTATGCTTCATTAAGTACTTATACAAAATTTTATTAAAATAAAACCATTTAAACTGGGTGTTCGGATTTATATGTCACTTAGTATAATTTCAAAACAATTTTTTCCGGTTGGAAATATTTGAATGATAATAAAGTCCATTCATCTCAAGTTTCCGAATAACAGCGTTTACACGCTTTTTCCATCATGCTGTCAGATCGTAACACGCTTTTATTTGAAACTTGAGACGAAGGAGCTTCATCACGTTTACATATTTAAAATCGGGAAAAAATAATTTCAAAATTTTTGGTTTTCGCTATTAACATCTAAATAAAAGCTTATTTTCAAAAAGTATTTTTTTAATTTATTTATTTTTCACTGTTTAATATTTATGATGCCAAATAGCTAGTTTGGTCATTTCTATATAATTTTTAATAAGACTCCATAAAACTTATTACTTTATTTGTATTACAAAATCTTAATGGATATTAATTATGTATATATTGATAAACCGATATTCGCCATAAGGAATTTAAAATGACGTTATTTGCTGATTCATTTCGCTCATTAATCCATTTGATGCCCATATCATAGCGGTGACGGTAGAAATTATAAATTCCCATTTATTGGGGGGTCGTAAAATTAGATTTAAAATGACGTCACTTTGCTTGTTATGTTTCCCTCATAAAGCGCTTTGATTTGATACCCATATCATAGGAGTTACTGTGGAAATGATAAATCGCCATTTTGTAGCAACCGCCATGTTGGAATCAAAATCGCAACAGTTAATTCATTTGGTATTGTCATGCGAATCAAACGTATGTTCGGAATTTCAGCTCGTTTGATTACTAACTGAATGGATCAATATGAGATACAGATTCAAAATTTCTGCGATTACCTTATATCATAAAATTATTACATAAAGAAACCTACCTACTTTTATAAAAAAACTAATATCGAACAGAAGTTGACAATATTAATATTAGATTCAAAGTTCTCACCACTCCTTCTACCCATAAAATCACTATATATGAAAGGAGTTTCTGGGGCTGAGGGAACTCACATTTACGAAGACAATTAGATCTTACGGATATTAAAAAAAAACAGCAAGAATGGACTATTATCATTTATTGGTACATTATATCCAATTTTTATTCTTTAATTGATTGGGTTCATTGTACCTTTTTTGTATCTTTATAATGTTGATTGGAAGAGCACGAAATGTGAACTCCGCCTTTTGGTTAATCCAATAAGAACAATTATTATTATTTTTATTATAACTGACTTATTGTGAAGTGACACTTTTCCACCAGCATTTCTCTGCGTTCACTTACCACAGCGAGAGGCGGTACAGTAACAGCTCCCCTGGGCGGTACAGCAGGCTGCAATTGCGCTGCCGTTGGCTGAGCGGTAGTCGGCGGAGGCGGTGCTTTGCTGGCTGCGGTACCGCCCACGTTGACAGCGGTGGGCGGTGCCGCAGCCGCGGAGGTGGTACCGCCAGCCGCGGCGTTCGACGGCGCTGTCGGGGCGGAGCCAGGCGAAGCGGGAGTCGCATTGCCTTGCACGTGCAGTCGGTTACGCAACGTCACCAACTCCGTGCTCAGACTACGTAGGCGCTGCTGCAGATGGACGGCTTCGTTCGAAGACGACGCATCTGGAAATAGGAATTATTGATTTGAAATTTTATTGGTCATAGATAATTACGACATAAGACTGGCCAACCTTATACATTACATAAATATAATACACTGTCTCAATGAGTCTATACACAGCATCAGTCTCAAGATTAGAGAAATGAAAACCCTTCTATATACCTTAGCGTATGTATACGGGACTGTTATTCCGCCTGTGATCGAGAAAGAAAACGATAATCCTGCATTGAAAGTAACAAACAACAAGATAATCATGCCTCTTGTCTGTAATAGAAGTATCATTTCAGGGCACAAAGGAATTGCGCTGCGGAGTGCGGACCGTTATGCGTTTATTCGTTCGCAACAAAAGTGAGCCGAGCTCTGTACGGTCTCTAATTGCCACCCATGTACCGATCGAAGATCTAACAATCATCTCGGGAGAGAAAACACGCTCCCAACGATCTGTTATTTGTGGAGACAAAAAAATAGCGTCAAGGAGATAGACTCTATATTTCCTATATCTTCGTTGGAGGTTTCGGAGAAAAGGGATGGGGCAAGTACGTTTCAAAAGGCGAAATTGAATCGTGATTAGGTAGGTACGACCAATACACGTCAAACAGTATTAATTCTTCTTTGCATTGTGGTATTCCTGAAAAACAAAGTAAATGAGAAATTATATAAAGGGTTGTCCAATAGGGACGCAGGAAAGTAAACGTCAATTTGACATAGACGCCATCTTTGTTTCCTATCACCGACATGTCATTTTGTTAGTTGAATGTTTACCATTGATCGCTATGGAGTCGTATTCGATTGAAGACCGCATTAAAGTTATTCAAGAGCACTACAAAAATGGTGCAAAAATAAAAAACACGTTTCGCGCGCTTCGTGAACATTTCGGTCGCAACAACCGCCCAAACGAAACAACCATCGGTCGTCTGGTGCGTAAATTCGAGGCAACAGGTTCTGTGGCAAATCTGCCAGGCTCTGGCCGGCCAAGGAGCGTTCGCACACCGGAGAATATTGCTGTTGTGAAGGAGAGTGTGAGAGACGATCCGAAACAATCAACAACGCGTCGATCCCAAGAATTGGGCATTTCGAGAACCAGTTTGCTCCGCATTCTCCACAAGGATTTGAATGTACACGCCTACAAGATCCAATTGACGCAAGAGCTGCGTCGGGCCGACCATTTTTCGCGCCGAACGTTCTCAGATTGGCTCTTTGAACACCGCCAAATTGATGCCAATTTTTCATCAAAAATCATGTTCAGCGACGAAGCGCATTTCACTTCGAATGGGACGGTAAACAAGCAAAACTGCCGCATCTGGGCGAACGAAAATCCCCGTGAGTATCAAGAGCAGCCGATGCATCCTCAAAAAGTGACTGTGTGGTGTGCATTGTGGTCAAAAGGCATCATCGGACCTTACTTTTTCGAAAATGCGGCCGGGGACGCCGTTACCGTCAATTCTGAGCGATATCACGTGATGATAGAGGACTATTTTTTGCCGCAACTTGAAGGAATGGATATGGACGATGTTTATTTCCAACAAGACGGTGCAACATGTCACACAAACAACGTCAATATCCATCGATTGCAGTCCTTCTTCGGTGATCGCGTCATTTCGCGCAGAGGAAATGTGCCATGGCCACCAAGATCGTGCGATTTGACTCCCTTGGACTTCTTTTTATGGGGATATTTGAAAAGCAAAGTCTATGTCAACAAACCAGCCACCCTCCAAGAACATCATTGCCGAGATAAATGCCATAGAACCGACCATGTTGCAAAATGTCATTGAAAATTTCGACCATCGCGTGGACGTCTGTAAATCCAGTCGTGGTGAACATTTGAGCGATATTATTTTTCATACATAAATGGTATAAATAAACCTTCAAAATAAAGTACTCAACTTGATTTGAATATCAATCTTTCTTGTTTTAATATGCGTTTACTTTCCTGCGTCCGTATTGGACAACCCCATATTTCTGTTTCCTTGGCATATGTAGGGAAAATATGTATGACTTATTATGTACTCATATAGCTGAATCGTTAGAAACTGAAAAGGATACTTCCAAGAAAATCCTGGAAAACAACTGAAAGCACCGGCAGCACAAGTAGTGCCACTTATACAGGACGTTATAGAGAACATTAAAATTTTAGAAAAAAGCGACGCAGGCGGCACTAGTTTTATTTCGAGAACGCCTACAAGTTTTCAAAACCAAATAACTGTTCTTTTACTTAATATTGTTAATAATTATTATATTATTGATGTTGTTTCTGTTGATGATGTTGATTTTAGAATTTTTAAATTTCTTATAAAACATAGTAAAAACCTTATACCTAACAAAGTGTATTTTCCGCAAATAAATATCTCCCACAGGCACCATTAATGCGACCCGAGTTATCCAATTTACCTGCATGAAAAATAGTAACCCACACCAACACATGTTGGTCACAGAACTACCAGCGTTAATATTTTTAATAGCGAAGCTATACGTGCGTGAGCATTCTTACTATTTTAATGAAAACATTTGTAACTCTTCCGCGTATAATAAGACATTGTTGGTATCTTATAATGTCTGTTTTCCGTTTTACAAAGCGATAAATAAGAACGTTGATTTCATTAGCATCGAAGACGTGTGTCTTGTGGTCGGATACGTGCATCCCATAGGTAATAGCCGAAACGCTCTTGGTCGCTTCAACGTTTCTTATGACTGTCGTTACATAACAAGACGCCGACGTCTATAGAGAATGCGAATTTCAATCGGATAGGGAAAAGCACATATTTGTACTAATAGGGATTCATTGAACTTAAGATAATTTCAACTTTTTAACAACATGGTTAATTACGAAAGGCTATTGGCTAGAGTTTTGCCATTTGTAACTGTGTATGTGTTTGTTGCAATAACACCGATTGAATTGAAATGTTTCTTTAAGGCATAGGCTATGTAAATCTATTACGTGGGTTGATATACATAATAATTTAGATACTACACTTTTCTGCATGTGAAACACACGGTCAAAGGTTTCCTTGGCACTTGGAATGCTAAGAAAGTCACTGCTGGTATACACATTTTATAACAGCCACTCACGATCCTAGTAAATTTCACGCCTAATCGTGAAAACAAGGGCACGCTGAGACACAGGCCCTCTTAGTTTATTCGAATAGTGTTCTAACAGTTGAAAGGTCGAAGTGTCTGGGTCTTGTGATTTTGTGAATAGTGGCAATACCAAGTTCAGGTTAATCAATCAAACGGTAAGGGTTTTCACTGAGTATCGCTTATTGTATGCAGTCATGTGTATTTTCTAACCAAAAAGATAAAGTTACACGTAACTTGGAATCAATCATCTACAGAGGTGTGATACCTCCAGTCTCTGGGGGAGTATCGGAGCCCAATTTCTGGGTTCAGGAGGTTATGTTCTTTCTTGGTTTTCCTATGTCTGGGGAAATGTCTGAGCGTTTTGGATATTGACACAACTGCTTTTGGCCGACGTGATATCCTAGATCTGCGTGACCGCTTAGCTTCCTCTCGTGGCAGTCGCTGGAGTTTGAAAGTTTCTCATGGCAGAATGCGTCTAGGGATTAATCAGGCGTGACTTCCATGCGAAAGGGAGCTACCGTTCCTCTGTGCGAGGTATTTCCATATCAGGCGTGACTAACATGCGGTAGGAAGCTACTGTTCCACCATGCAGGGTATTTCCATAACAAGCGCGACTTCCACCCGGTAGGAAGCTACCGTTCCTCCATGCGAGGTATTTCCGTAGCAGACGTGACTTTCATGCGGTAGGAAACTACCGTTCCTCCGTGCGAGGTATTTCCGTAGCAGACGTGACTTTCATGCGGTAGGAAACTACCGTTCCTCCATGCGAGGTATTTCCGTAGCAGGCGTGGCTTTCATGCGATAGGAAGCTACAGTTGTGATCATGGACACGGGCGTGACTTTGATGCGGTAGGAAGGTACCGTTTCTCCGTGCGAGGTATTTCCGTAGCAGACGTGGCTTTCATGCGGTAGGAAGCTGCCGTTCCGCCGTGCGGGGTATTTCCGTAGCAGGCGTGACTTTCATGCGGTAGAAAACTACCGTTCCTCCATGCGAGGTATTTCCGTAGCAGGCGTGGCTTTCATGCGATAGGAAGCTACAGTTCTCCTGATCATAGACATGAGCGTGATTTTCATGCGATAGGAAGCTACCGTTCCTCCGTGCGAGGTATTTCCGTAGCAGACGTGACTTTCATGCGGTAGAAAACTACCGTTCCTCCATGCGAGGTATTTCCGTAGCAGACGTGACTTTCATGCGGTAGGAAACTACCGTTCCTTCATGCGAGGTATTTCCGTAGCAGGCGTGGCTTTCATGCGATAGGAAGCTACAGTTCTCCTGATCATAGACAAGAGCGTGATTTTCATGCGATAGGAAGCTACCGTTCCTCCGTGCGAGGTATTTCCGTAGCAGACGTGACTTTCATGCGGTAGAAAACTACCGTTCCTCCATGCGAGGTATTTCCGTAGCAGACGTGACTTTCATGCGGTAGGAAAGTACCGTTCCTCCGTGCGAGGAATTTCCGAAGCAGGTCTGGCTTTCATGCGATAGGAAGCTACAGTTGTGATCGTGGACACGGGCGTGACTTTCATGCGGTAGGAAGCTACCGTTCCTCCGTGCGAGGAATTTCCGAAGCAGGTCTGGCTTTCATGCGATAGGAAGCTACCGTTCTCTTGATCATGGATACGTGCGTGATTCTCATGCGATAGGAAGCTACCGTTCCTCCGTGCGAGGTATTTCCGTAGCAGACGTGATTTTCATGCGGTAGGAAGCTACCGTTCCTCCGTGCGAGGTATTTCCGTAGCAGACGTGACTTTCATGCAATAGGAAGCTACCGTTCCTCCGTGCGAGGTATTTCCGTAGCAGACGTGACTTTCATGCGGTAGAAAACTACCGTTCCTCCATGCGAGGTATTTCCGTAGCAGGCGTGGCTTTCATGCGATAGGAAGCTACCGTTCCTCCGTGCGAGGT